CAGCAGCAGCAGCAGCAGCAGACGACCCGGCGCCTGCAGAGCACCCAGCGCAGCAGCGCCCAGCGCAGCAGCGGCAGCAGCAGCACCAGCAGCAGCAGCACCAGCAGCAGACCACCGGAAGCCCGGCTAGCTTTCGTTCACCCCCTCTGGCCTCAAGTTCTTTTTATGAGAGGTTCTTCCCTACGACACGGCTTGTGGAAGGTCAGACGCAGGACATTGTTTATAGTTAACAATGGGACGTGACCCATGCGGCGAACTCTAGCAATCTCGGGCGTCTCATGTTCTTCAAGCGCTGTTAGAAACGGGACCCCTCCCTATACTCTTGGACATCGAACGGGCTTTCTTACACGAGGCTTAGCAGTATATCACGGACACCACATGCATGATTGTAGCCAGGCCAGTAAGCATGGGTTCTCCTGAGTGAGTTCGTTCTACTGAAACCTACTGGAACCTCTACAGTCTACACCTTCCTTTCAGAAATTTCTAAAGCCTGAGCCGCGGAGTGTCAAACCCTTTCAGCCTACACGCCTAAACACGATCTTTCTCTGATCAGCTCTAAGCGAAGCGAACAGCGCTGTTCGCGTTCGCTGGCGCGAAAGAAAACAGTCAGGACCGTGCGGTGCAGATCATTGCACTACCAGCAGTGTTTGGGTGCATGGCGATGAATGCGGCTTGGGCGAGCAAGCCGGGTTGGAGAAGGGGCAGTTTTGGGAGGCTTGACAAGGTCAAGGCGTCGACCAAGGCAGCAGCCAGGCTTCTTCAGCAGAGATAATCGTGTTCTTTGAGGAAAGTAGTCAAGCATGTCAATGGACAGAAGTGTCTCGAATGGAAACGGACGGGCTGGTTGAAGAGTTTGTCCCAAGCCAGTGCATACTAAATTACTTGTAGCGGCCATAGGGAGCCTTCAGAGCTAGTGATTGGGCGACCAAGACTCTCCTCTTCGGTGACGTGTCCAGCGAGTTGATGCTGAGAACCGTGTCCGGGACATTGGTGAATCTCCAAAGCATCCCGCTCGAGTGGTGCACAATCTCTGCAGTGGACCGCGAACAAGACATCTTCCGAAGATGAAGACATGGTAGCCGCAGATCTTCTAAGACTTAGGGAAAGTGGGCCTTTGTGAAGTTGATTTTCGCATGCGACGGCTTGGACTGTGCGCTTCCCACGCGGGGCTTGGCGTTGCACCTTGTCAAGGTTGTCGAGTGGCTTGCGAACGCATCTCGTGCACTGTTTGTGCACTTGCAACGCAGCAGGCTAGTCAGAAATTGAGCTCAATGCAGGCGTGCACTTCGCTGGCTCAAGCCCGGCCAAAGGACTTAACCACAAATCTTCAAGAAGGGAAAAGAGTCCCAAGGACGAGAGGCTCCAGTTGTCCATCCTTCTTCCACCTGGTCATGTTCCATAGCTGCCAAACTGGCAACGGGGGCCGGTCGATGTCCAGAAAGATGAGCGCCAACGATGCAGCCGAGCTACCCTCCCACACAGTAACGCGGAAGTGAAACTGGCCCCTGGAACTACAACATACTACAACCATTTTTGCCTAGAATCTGGTTTTACCAGCTTGATGTTGGTGAGTCGTAGTGTACCCCTTGTGTCTTGTGTCCTTCGCGAAGGAAGCACCACAAAATACAAGATACAACTTGACTGTCACCGTTCACTTGGCTGCTGACAGGTTTCTTGCGTTCGCATGGAACGAAGGCTTTTGGAGGCTGTGTTTTTGGTTTGAACAATTTCTACTGTTTAGGGGCACGGTGTCAGCTCACCAACCACAATCCCTGCCATGGCCATAGCCTTATCATAGCCAGTTGAGGCTTTGACAAAGATGTTTGAAGGCGCTGCCCAGTTCAACGTCGAGGCTGGGTCCGGGCATGTCCACGCTTCAGTGCATTCTCCCACACGGCATGTGTGGGCCTTAAGGTGGTGTATGGCCACCAAGTTGGGGAGAATCAATGGCTGAAGGGGACATGCCTTCGAGGTGGATTTGTTTAGCACGCAGTGACCCTGGCCCCCCCTGGCCAAGTTTCATCATGTTTGATGGGGTTTGAGACGAGTGCGACACCGGATCTCATGTTGAAAGCAGCAAACTCACAACCCCTCGCGTGATTCGCGCCGCCAGGAGCGCCTGGGTGTGGAATTGCTGTCGCTGCATCGACCGGCGAACCACACCGACGAGCGACTCAGACGGAAAAACATAAACCTATAGACCAACACCACCCAAGGGTTGGTTTATAGACCTCCCCCTGTCTATCTATTTTCCATCTAATAACCACTCTTTGGGTGGTGCTGATCGATAGACATCTGACCTTCAAAGGGGTGTGCAATGGGGCTGAACGTCAGGGCTGAATTGGATTCAAGGTCTTCCGTCGCTTTTCTTTCATGTTTTTTGAAAGAATTGAAAGGAAACCCTTCGTACTTGGGGTCTTTTTTCGGTGGAGCCGATCATTTTGCGGGGTTTGTTTCGGCAGATGCCTCTCGAGGCTAGCTAGCTGGTGTCCAAAATGGAACGCCTGAGGTGCTGGACGTAGTGTGGTTGTGGTTTCGAAGGCTTAGTCGTTGTGGGTTCAGACGTACATGCACATGGGCTTTCGAGAGATTGTTGGAAGGTCTTCTTTGATTTGAACCGAGACATTGTCAAGCAGAGAGTCTATACGGGTGTGTATTAAACATAGGGAGACCTTTGGAAGGATCAAAAAAGAACAACAGCCATTGGTTGGTGGTCTCCCTATTCACATGCACCCCCATATCGGCCCATATAGATGTACACCGCACTTTGCAAAGGAGCGAGACGCTAAGGACGTGTGTCTTGTACCACAGCGGTCGGCGCTTTTGGCGCCCCTCGTTCAGCGAGCGAGCTCGGCGTCCGAGGAACGCGACCCAGTTCTACTTGGCTCAGGTCGAGACCTGCTACCAGGCGGTCGCCGCCGAGCCGCCGAGCCGCCTCGCTCGGTTCGACGGGCTCCCGGTCAGGGCGCCGAGCCCGCCTGACCGGCGGCGCCTTCGATCGCCTTCAAGGGGTGTGAAGAAGAAGAAGAAGAAGCAGAGTCCGGTCAAGTCGCGGTTCCGCAGTGATTCCGTGTGTTTCACACACATGCAAGCAGCTTATGCCCGTATTTGCTGATTCAAGCTCCATCGATTCCGTGTGTTTCTCTTGGAAAAGGCTGGAGGTCGGAACTCCCAAGGATGTTGAACGAGAGGGGTTTGCCATCCGACCGGACGGTCCAGATTGGACGGTCCAGGTGGGTGATTTGTACGAGGCCTGGGCGTGACTTGGATGTGGCGCCCCAACCCGGTGTGGAAATTGAAGAGGGAGACGGAAATCTCGCCCCCCTGGGTAGACTGTTGGTGTTTTCTTTATTTTTTCCCCTGGGTAGACTGTTGGTGTTTTCTTTGTTTTTTTCTTCCAACCTTGCAGGGTGGGTTGGAATGCCTGGGAGGTCTCCCTATTTTTCTTGTCACGTGGCAACAAGAACTCGATACAAGGACTCGCAGGTTCGGGATAACTGGTGACTACTGTCCTTCCAACGGAAGTGGATGGCATGGCTTCGGGGAAGACGAAGACTATCGAATACCAAACAGGGGGATTTCACTCACTCCACTTCCATGTTCGTTGGAGGGACGGGTACTTTCCATTACTTTCCTTTCACTTGGCGGGTGACTGGGGTGGTATTTGTTGAACACGACATGTACACCTGCGGTGTGTGAATGGACTTGAAATCTCGGTGGTTTAAGGCAAACTACAATCCTGGCCGAAAGCTGATGTCCTGCAAAAAAGCAACCCGTTTGAGGTAATTATAGGCCCATGATCGGCTGCTCACCGGTCTGGTGTTTGTTTTGGGCTTCTGGAGCTTTTAGGGGGCATGGCTTTCGGTGGATGGCCGCCAAAGCTATGACTATGATGGTCAAGGGGAGTTACAAGGGGGATTCTCCCTGCACAATTCTCTTTCAGGTTCATGCATGGTCAACAAGGAAGGACACCGGCTTCGGGTATTGTAGGGCTCAGAACATGCCAAGACCCGACTTCAGACATCCTTGTTTCATAGCCACCAAGTTGAGTCTTTTATAGTCTTTTTTGTTTTTTCCTGGTCACATTGAGGTTGTATCAGTTCTGCAAGATGACCCTGGAAATTCTCAAGAGCTGTTTGGAGAAGATGGCCAAGGAGCTGCATGCTTCCTGCGGCTCGAGTCCACATTCTGTTCAACGTCCTTCGTCTTGGGTTTCCTGACAAACGTCATTTCTCGATGAACGCGTCCTTCGCCGCAGCCGAAAAGCGTCCTTCTCTCATGTTCACTCGGCGACTTGAACTCCGTCCACAAGCCGCTGAACTGCAGGGTCGATGAAAAAGTGAAAGCCTCCGGTTCGGAGACAGCTCCAGATCCAACTCGACAGGAGCATGTCATGATGTTTGCTTTCTGACTCAGAAATCGTTCGGGATTTGGAGCCTCTGGAGATAAGGACTTCGACCTCACAGCTAACCTGGTAAGGAAGAAAGACCTCCAAGGATTCCCCTTTTGCAGCTTGGCCGATGTTCCTCTCGGCTCCCTTCCGCCAAGATCTTCCCGTTCCCCTCGCTCGTGGTGCCAGCGACGTCCGACCACGTTCTCCTCGCAGGAGCAGGTCCAGGATGAGCGGCGGAGCGTGGCGTCGGGGCTGCTGGTGGCGCACAAGTCTTTGGCTGACATTGCTTACACTGGCGACCCTCGGCCGGAACCACGGAGGACCTGGCTAAAAGGCCTAGTGGGAGGGGTCACAAGTTGGGTGAAGACCATGTAAGTTTAAATGGATTCAAAGTGGACCGAAGATTAGTTTGGCGAGTTCAGTATATTCGTAGTCTTGGTCCAGTTCAGGAGGAAAAGGCTTCACGAAAGGCTTCACAAGAATTTGAGGCCTCGGTTGTGGAAACGTGGAAGTTCGAAGTTCAGCGCTTGCCACCACATTCCATCCACCTTCCTCCACGTGCTTCCTCCGTCCAGTTGGTGAGGTCTTCATGTTTCTGGTGGTGTGTTGCGCGGAAGCCAGCTGGTCCTTGTACCTGCTCACCTTCACGAACCCGGAGGCCGGGGTGGGACGAGAGATTGGAGAGATTGGAGGTTCTCACGTCGACATCGACACCGCCAATGTGCCGCTGTTTTTTTGACTCAAAGGCGCCGATCTCTCGGGAAGTGGACCGTTTGATGAACGCTTGTCCTTCAATTTCTAGCTGATGAGAAGTAGACCGCCAGGCCAAGAGCAGGGGGCCCCAGATCCAAGAAGGGGCCCAGATGTGACCAGGCTGTTACCAAAGGCTTGAACAGTAAATGAAACCGAATTCGACAGAAGAAGTAGGGATCCGACTCACTTTTGAACAGTTGGACAGTGAAAGAACGGTTCTGAACCGAAGAACTTCTCTCTTTGCTCTGCGAAGTGACCAGTCACAGAGTTGGGGTCGATTCGCGATTTCGGTCCTGTCGATCCAGTCGAGTCACCGTCGACCCCCCGTCGCCCCCCGTCTAGTCACAGTCGTTTCGAATCGCTCCGTCCGCACGCTTCGAGTCGTCGCCCCAGTCGAGAGGAGAATTGGGGAGCTTACAACAGCCAGATGGGCCCCTTGGAGATGATGCGAATCACACCACGCCGCGTGTACCGCGTGTCCGCGTGTCGCGTCTTGGTGTTCGGTGGTATTTGGGTTGTTCGCCGGCGCGCCGAGTGGCGATCCTTCGAAACTGTCAAAACGTGGTGTTGTGACCAGTCGTGTTGTGAGCATTCGTGTGATGAAGAAACATCCAGTGCCAAGCAAAATAGGTGTTTTTTCTTTCTTTCTTCCTCTTCTTCCTTCAAGGCACCCCGTCCTTTTGGAGATCTCCCCGATTCGCGCTCCTCCTTCGCCTCTGGTGAACAACGCAGCTCTACCCCCCCACAGCGCAAGCTCTACCGCGCTGTGCGCTCGTTTTTTCGCGCCGGTGGAGACCGCGCGCCCGCCGCGAACGAACGCAGCGGCGAGGGAAGTTCCAAGCAGCGGGTTTGGTGACTTCCATGGCAGCGATCTACAACCTCAACACGGCCCGGCCCGGGACGTCGGACGTCGGACGTCGGACCCTCGAGGGTCGACTATATGAAACGAATGGCGAGGGAGACGGGCTGGGAGACGGCCTTCATGGGGGGTTTGGGTTCGGAACGGTTAGATGACACGGATTCTTTATTGAACCTATAGAGACGAAGGGTTTGAGTTGGGAAGGAGCCGGTCTCGGCCGTCTTGGTCGCGTGTGATGGACTGACGAGAGAGGGCGATCACGGCGAAAAGGGCGTGGTGACTCACCGGGCAGGTCGAGATGGAATTCCACGACTACTTTGAAAGCGTCTTGGTTTCACAGCCGCGCGGATTCACCGGTTCCCTCTCCGTGCGTTCGCGGGGTGGCGGCGGGTGGCGGCGAGCGTGTGACGGTGTGTCTGTGTATGTCGTAGAACGGGCTCAAGTTAAAAGCCTTGCAAGAGGGCCCGGGACAAATGATTTTTGGACTATTATTCATAGATACAATGCAACAAGCACATGGTCCTTGCTTAGGCTTTCCACATTTTAAGAGTTTCTTCTTCCATGGACCGTTTCCTTCCCGGCAAATGCCATAAGAACGAGTTCTGGCATGCGCAGAATTCCGCGCTTGGTGAAGGTCAATGCAGTGCCGGGCGAGGAAAACTGATTGAACTCCTTTGCTTAACACGCCAACGACTTCAGACCTCGTCCTCGTCCTCACGTCGTCCGGAGGTTCAGAGTGGTGGGTGGTTTTCAGGCTTTACGCCGTTGCTGAAGTTCTTGACGGTGAAGATCTTGCTGTCCTTGGCCTACTTTCAGAAGGCCGGTTTCTTCGGGGAGAGGTCCGACCAGTCTCTGACCAGTCTCTGACCAGTCCACCATGCAACGAACAGAAGATACCGCGGTCTGTGGATGCGATTTTTCAGGACAACAGGGATGGACGAGACCGATGGGTATGGACGCCTCCAAACTCACATGGACCCTGACAGTAGCTCCTTGGAAGATGCTTTTCTTCTACCAGTCCAGTGGTTTTCAGGGTCCATGTTCGTCCAAACCAGGCTTTTCCAGGGAAAAGCCACCTGGTTCTTCCGCTCTTCTCCGTTCATCTCGACTCTCGGGGGGTTCGGAACATGACCCGAAGTCGAAGGTGGACGAGTTGGCCATGACCCGAGTTCGGAGTGCGTGGTCCACATGTCCCCTACAAGTCCAGCCGGACCAAGTTTAAACCGGAAAACCTCATTGCAGTACTGGTTTTGCATCACCGGACCCGGTGAAGGTCCGTAAGACCTGAGAATCGGTCCTGCTGTCGCCATGGTTACCGTGATTTTGGGTGTCCCAAAGGGTTCCGCTGTGATGCACGGACAGCAACAGAGTGCGGTTTTCAACCGAAAAGGCACTGAGCAATTTGTGGACAAGCTGGAGGAGCAACGTAGAGGCAAGACCATCCGTGTGATGAAGAACCAACATCTGGATCATGCTCGTTATTTACACCCTAGGGATCCAACGTACCGTACCTGAGAAACGGTGCTTGGAGACACTATATATGTAGCTACCAGGAGGGTCCAGTCCTTCGGCTCCCGGCCACGGATCCCCCAACGGGAGCATCGGCGACCGAGCAGAGACTCTCGGCCCAGCACCGGGGTCGAGCCGTCTTGGATGTGTTGGTGGCAGTTGCTCCAAAGAGGACGACTTCTTGGGGGAGATGTCGTTGTTGCGAGCTTTGGTTTGTGCTAAGCATCGCAACAACCATTCGAAGATATCACATATTCTTTCCCACATGATTCCTCCTCGTGAAAAAGAAGACCCCCCAAAATATATACCCAATCCATCCCAATCCTATAGGCCGGTGTTGCATGGCCATCTCCATGTCCCTCTGCATCTTCGACCGCCTCCCCACAGGGCTGCGTCTACGTGCTACAGACGGTGAACCGCTCGCTGCCCAACCTGCTGCAGTCGGTGATTGCCGCGGTGCCCTTCGTTAAGGAGCTCGTGAGCAGCGTGGCGAAAAAAATCCACGGATGCGTTTTGGGGGGCGAAGGTTGGGTTGGTTTTGGGTGAATGGCGAGTGGAACAGTGATTGGAGAGGGACGACTCTGGAGGTATTTCGGGAACCAGAGACACCTAAGGACCTCTCGCCGTCGACCTTCCCAGAGAAATTTCAGAGATGGCGAGTTGACCATAGGGCCTTAGGCCCTATATAGTCAGTTCGGCACATGGCGAAGACTTTCCAAGAGTGATGATGAATGTGTTACACCCAGGACCTTCCCAGCGACCGTCCTTGAAATCCCAGTGGCGGGTCGGTCACGAAGTAAGGCCTTGATTTCAGGTCACGGTTCTACCAATCCTGAAGAGGTCGCTGGAAAGGTCCTGGACTCTTACACTCCCTGGAAAGGAGGCCGGTCGCAGATCCAGATTCGGCCAGAGGACATCACCCTCCAGTCCAAAGCTCGTCTTCCAAACCATCTCCGACAGGACCGGGGGAAATGATGCGTTTTTTTCGCCACGACTGAGGCATGGGTGATACTGAGCTGCTTGCTGGTTGTGGTGTGGATGAGGGGGCCGTCTTCCGTCCCTCTGAAGTCGGCGCCTAAAGTTGTCCAAAATGTACGGCGTCTCCAAAAAAGTCAGCAGGTAGGCCTCAAGGTGCAAAGCGAATTGAATACCCACACAATATCACAAGAGCCTGTGGAGACAGAGTGAAGAGGCACTTCCATGTGAATCTTTTCTGATCTGGGTCATGGAAATCAACTGCATCGAACATGGACGGAGATGCCAATTGGGAGATGAAATCCGGTTTGCTATGAGGATGTGAGTTGTGCCTGATCATTTCTGGATCGTGAGTGCAGCAGTGTCCCTTATCAGCTGAGAGGCATTCGAACAGCAGATCCCAAGCAGTTCATTTGGGCAAAAAGGACGATATTTCCATGTATTTCCCAGAGCTGATAGTCTTTTTGGTTGCATCAAGTATCATCACTTCTTTTTCAGCAAAAACTGCAAGTATGAGGTATTTTTTTGAATGACAGTGACAGAAGACAAGGAGGGAGCTTCAACGTCCCGTTCCGTTCGGCGACCCTCCTTTTGGGTTTCGGTCCCGCGAATCGCGCCGGGACTTCGGGAATGGACGAGGGTTTGGACGAGGTTCTACCTCTTCTATTCCTCTCTGATCCTCTACGAGTGCGTCTTGGGCGTCTTCTTTCATTGGTTTGGTCCGGCCCCCAACGACGGGCGGGGCGGCCCTTTTTTCTCGTTTTGGAAGAAGGAGAAGGAGCGAGCGAAACTGGCGTAAGGGGAGCGGTTCTTTTCTTTTTGTTCGGAAGACTTTGCCGAATTGCATTTTGGATTTCAGGGGCCAGTGGGGAATCATTTGAAGACACGCCTTGGTTGGCAAGTTGGGGCTTCAATGCAAGGAGGATAGTATTCGCTTTAAGTATCCCTGGTTGGGTAGGAGATGCCTTGCACGAAAAGGAAGACCTCTTTGATTTCTCCTTGGGATTCCAGTTTCCAGTGAGTCACCGTCGAATCTTCCCTCAGTGGACCATGTCAAATTCTGACTGGAATCCGCGAAGGCCAACTGACATCTGAACATGTCCAATTCATTTTTCGCTGGCCGGGCCGAATTTTTGGACTTCAGGATTGTCTTCTTGCTGGATTCGTCCAACTCTCCCTGCTTCTCCAACTTCCCAGACCGGGATCCCTTAGACCGGGATCCCCTCCTCCCATCTCGCCAGCTTGGCCGTCGGACGAGCAGTTCTACGGCTTCGAGCTCGAAGGCGCGGCATGTCCTTCGCCCAGCACCCCACCCCCGGTCGCGGCGGAAGCCTTTCTTTCGCGGGGGCAGACGGTTTTTGGCGTTTTCCGCCGTCGGCGAACGCCACGGGGGCCGCCGGTTTTGGGCGTGGCACTGCTTACTAAGTCCGGGTAAGGAGTGGAGGGGGTTGACGGGGTGAGCTTGAGGCGTCGTTGGGGTCAACAGGTCCGCTCCGCACCGCTCTTTCCGCGTCGACGGCGGAACCCACGTAGCAGGTTGAACAGGTGGGACCCTCCTGGGGTGTCCTCCCTTCCGGCTGTGAGATGCTGGAATCCTGGAACCCTCCGAAAAAACATGAAAAAGTCGCTCCCAGGCAGTTCCGGAACCCTGATTTCGGTGGTCAAGCCACGCCACCGACAGCTCACACACCGCTCCCCCGCTGGGATAGGCACCGAGGCCGAAAAAGCGCCCCTCCTCGAGAAGGCCGACCGTTGGGGGCGGAGACGGATGTCCAGATGTTTGACGAGGGAGATGTCCAGGACGGGTGGCCAACATGGGGGAGTCTCAAAACGTGCGAAAAAGCACATCGATGGCGCTAATGACTTCATCGTGGTACGTCTTTTGATTGGGAAGGGGCCAGTCCAGTCTACGGAGAAGCCGAAAAACCAGCGAGAACTTGGGGAAGTCTTTTCGGCCCCCCGGCCAAGGGTATCAGTATGCTCCTGGCATGATTTTGGTTTGCACCATCTCTTACGTTCGCTTCTGCGAACACCTTTTTGTGGCTCTTCCATGAATCAACACATGAGCATGGCCGCCATGGCCCATCAATAACCCCAATCGTGGCTGCATTTCGATTTCGGCTGTTCACCAGAGCCAGCCTGCGACCCCCCAACACATCGGACCCCACAGCACCGTGGTCTAAAAGCGGACTCCCAAACCAGTGACCCACACCCACGCCAGTACGCCCAACTTGAGTGTTTCGACCTGGACGGACCGAGGGACCGAGGGACCGATGTGCGATCCGGACGGATGGTCGGGTTGACGGTGCACGACCGATGGTCTCGCTCAAGGCAATGTCCGCTCCGAGCGTGCGACGGTTCATAGGTCCGGTGAGTCGAGTCGCTTCAATTCCTCCGCTGATTCGTGACCAAAGCAGTTGGAAAAAACCATGAACAAACCATCCCAAAAACGACAAAATCGATTCTACTACATACGTTTTGGGACACGTAGTCTGGTTCGAAAAATTTTGGGCTGTGCTTTCGTTGGAAAGGAAGGTGCCTTTTCAAAGGTTCCAAACACGCCAAACAACTCGAGCCTTTAACCTTTCAGCTGCTGAGCCGCGCTGTGCTTTTCATCTTCAGAACTCGAGTCGAAAAAGCCGCCAGGCCTGAGTGGCCAGCCTTGCTGCAGACACCAGACATCCGAAAAAAGGGGAGGATTGGTGAGAGACCTTGGGCTGGATGGGTTTGGAACATGGAGACTTCACCTTGTCCATGAAGACTGACTTCCCTTGCGTTCGCGCCATGCGTAGGTTGGCCATGAGGTTCCTCACGTCCAACATCCAATAGGAACAAAGCACTTCAAGCAGTCGAATGAGCTGCAACCAACATCACTTATTGCACCTACACACCCCTCTTGGCCACGCCCGGCGGCTCCGACCCCCGTCTTCGCTGCTTCCCCGCCCGTTCGTTGGAACAGCTGGCTCGGCTCGCGGCGTCTGAAAACCCTGCAGACGCGCCAGGCGTCCGCAAGGGCCGCGTGGTGGGAGGAACGACCCAAGTCTCTCGAGGTATGCAGTTCTGGTGCTTGTCTTGATCTCGTTTTTTTTATTTTTTTCGTGGCAGACACTCTGAGCATCTTTTAGTCCAAGACACAGGATCCCCTACGGGCTCCCGTACGGGCTCCAGTCGTGCCTTCTAATAAGCAGGTGTTTGAGGTGGGTGCCAGGAGGGTCCAGTCAGACCGAACCTGAGGAGGTAACCTCCTGGAGCCCTATAGGGTATTGCCGGTGAAAGACCCGTTTGCAGTTGTCATGCCACCATTCGTGCCCGCTCCCTAGGGTATTCGGTTCCTTCCCCAAACTACAAGACTTTTGTTAGAAGATTTCAAGCAAAAGTTGACTTCTATTTTGAGATTTCACATCAGTATCAGATATTCAGAACAAACGCTTCGTCAGTGCTTTCCACCCAGCTATAGGGGGGAAGTATGAGTAATTGCTGTACTTCTTGTCGAGCTGTCTGAGGATCACGACCGTTCCTGAAAGCACCGGCATTCTGTGGTTCACAGGACTTCCTTGCTTTTGACTCATGCCAGTACCTTAGAAAAGGAACATCACTACCCGTGTCCCTACACTACAGCGTGAACGGGATCTCCCTTGCACACCTGAAGCGGAATGAATGTCCAACTGGGCAGGTCATGTCAACTCGATCTTTCGCTTCAACCCCCGCAAGCTTGAAGAGGGGGTATAAATACTCCATGTCTTGGGGCCCCAGGGCTTTTTGATTCATCAAGAGTCTATAGCAGGACCTTCCAGTTCGAACTGGTCACCCTTTGCACCCTTTTCACCCTTGCACTCGGTTGGTCACCCAACACCTTTCGAACGGGCTCCTACTGCCCGACCCCGTCGTTGGGGTTCGCACCGATCGCGCACACGAAGAACTTCCAGGCCATCCATCTGCGCCGATCCCCGACGTTTCTCTCGGACCAATCGGTGGACGGTGAATGAGGTGGCGTTGGTGGAGCGCCTCGGCGAGCGCCTCGTGCGCGGTGTGCGCGTGCGGGTACGGGGTGCGGTGTGTGCGTGGTTTGCACAGCTTTGGTCATTCGGAGCCTTGTGGAAACTCCTCCGGAATTTCTCAAAACTACTTGTTCGAGGCATTTTCCTTTTCTGGTAGGAGAAACACAGTGCGGACCCAGAGTCTTGATGACATGCAGTTTTTGCGATATTCCTTGCGTGGTAGCTTGTTTTCCTTTGGTTCCTTGGAGGGAGTTTCCGCCCTTTTCGCTTCCAGCCCCGTCCGCCCGACCAGACCGAGGTCTTTGGCTCCTTCGCACTGCCTCGGCCCTCGCCGATGAGCCTCGGAGAGAGAGAGAGAGAGAGCTGGCTCCACCGGGGTTTCCACGAGGCGAAAGGGCCGCACCTATTGGCGCCAGCTTTCGGAGGCTTCATGAGTTTGAATTCTTTGACTGAAGGGCCTAGCTCATCTATAGGGTCTCCGTTTTTGAGAGACGCAGATAGACCGCGGTATTTTGTTTTTTTGTGCAGATCACGTTGCGAAAGGGCTTCAAAGTACGAAGGATCAAAGACACCAACTCCCAGGTCGTCCGACCGTACGACTGCTGGTCCGACCAAAAAAACCGCTTGAAACTGCCGCAAGGGCCTCCCGCGGACGTTGGGCTCAACTGGGAGGGAAAGAAATCCTGCGCAGATGGAAGAGGGTCCCTTTCTGCCCATCTAACTAGGATGGGATCACGTGCATGTGCTAAAGATGGTGAAAAAGAGGGCCCATAGAATTCTAGCAGAGCGGATTTGCCAGTGTTGGCCACCTTGAGACTGCAGGATCTCTTCCTTCAATACTTCAATACCCTCCAATACCCTGCACGGAATTCCTGGGGCGGCCTATAACTTGCCGCCTCCCAATTCGGACCTCTCGTCGTCGCAACTCGTTCACCGGAGCGATTGCACGGGCAAGAGGACCGGTGAACGTCGTGAGGTTCGTTTTCGCCACGTTTTCGCCCACGATTTCAAGACCCCCAGATGGCGGAACGCCTTGGGCAGCGAGTGTGCTTGATCGGAATGTCCTGGATTTTTAACTACTTGGCAGATTACTTGTGGGTTCCATCTGTGGCATATGCGAATGATCATGGTCTTGGAGTGGAGTTCTTGGCCCAGGCGCCTTCACGACGAAGAGCGGTTGTGATTTCAACCGCGCGTCATCGATCGATGGCGTGGTGGTTGGTCGAAAGCATCGATTTGGCGTTCTGAGTGAAGTTGGAAGTGAAGTTGGAAGTGAAGTTGGGGTGTGTCCCAGGTTGACCTGCAACAGGAAGCTGCAACCTAGGCATCATCATATAGACATATATATTATATATTATATATATATAGACCTTAGCCCTAGCTTTCATAGACCATGAAAACAATGGTTGACCTGGGTTTTGTCGTGTAACGTCCATAAAACAGCTCGGTTCTTGGGGATGAAAAGACCATTGAATCAATGCTTGGCCGCGGTGATGGGCCGGTGGAGGATCCGCACCCGTTGGATGGGGCGGGGTGGATGGGATGGGTGGATCTCAACTGGTCAGTTTCGGAAGCGGATCGGATCTCAACTGGTCAGTTGCAGCTATAGTTGCATATGAGTTGCACATCCAGAAACAGGAACAGCATGATCCCGATGATCCCTTTCTGTGATTTCTTCACGGCCCCCTTCGATCATCCAATCCTCTCAGTTTTTGGGTCGAACTCATCACCCATACATCTTGCGGGCCTGTCTTGACAGGTCTATGCCTTGAACCTGGGCGCCCGATTTCTGCCCAATCTGCTCATCACCCAATGGGGATCGCAGATTGAGTACTGGATGATGGCCTTCGTGAGCTTCGGCTATGCCATCTCCTTCCTGCATCCCACCCAAGTTTGGGCCTTTGATCTCATGGCGCTTTCTTCGGGCATGGGCTTTGTCCGAGCATGCCTGACGGTTCATGTGCAAGCCTGCTTTCAAGATAATCCTGAAATGTTCACCACCATCTCCAAGCATTGTGGCGCTGCGCGAAACTGTGGCAGATTCTTGGACGAAAAGGATCACTCGGAAGATTTCCCCTCCAACCCACCTGGGCAGACCAAACATCAAGACTTTGATTTCTAGTAACAAAGATAACAAAGGGCATCGCTACTAGGAGCAAAAAGCTACTAGTAGCTCCTGGCATTACTACTAGTAGCAAGGACGCTACTAGTAGCAAGAAGCTACTAGGTGGAGGCCATCGCTATTGGGTTGGAGGCCATTACTAGTAGCGACCGGACGCTACGCACGTAGCGTCCGGTGCCTTTGATTCTCAAGGTATTGCGGCGATGATTGTGCCGGCGTTGCTCTACCAGCACTTTGGGTGGAAGGCCGTCTGTTGCGGAGCCGCCGCCGCGGCACTGCTCTACATCTTGCTCTCCTGCCTGGTAAGGCGTTTGGAGTCCCCAGCATCGCGGGAGGCCGTGTCGGAGTTCGAACCTCATGTGGAGGGAACTTGCACGGACATCTCGTGGATTGATTCTGGGCCCAACAAGGAAGTACCCAGACTTTTGGGGAACGGAAGACCAAGCAAAAACATAAGTGATCCCCTAAACAGGATCTAGCTTCTCGGGCAAACCCAGGATTTCAAGCTTTCTTTCAGGTGTATACTCAGTAAGTTAAGGTGCGGTGTTCGAGGGATCCCGACCCCAGGAGAAGATCCTCTTCATGCTGCGGCCTGAACATTGGCTCAGTCATTACATAGTCCTAATCATCACTGTACATTCCCAAGTTGCTTTGTCAGACCTACGACCCCCGCACAGAGCAACCGCTTCCATCCATCTTCCAAACGTTCAAAGCCCAAAAGCCAACCGCTCCAACCGCTCGAGGATTGGATGGTTGGATCAGCCTTCATCGTCACAGAGTTGCAGTACAACATCGGCAATGCGGCCATCCCACAGACATTGACCTCGACCTTCATCATGTCCGTAGGCGCGGTCGGCCCGACCTTGGGAAGCTTCAATGCGACGTCGATGATCTTCTTGGCCTTGCTACCGACGATCCCATGGGTTTTACTGCATCGGAGTCCTTTGAACATTTTGATGTCGTTCTTCTTGGTGGCCCAGCCGTGCTTGGCATCCGGCTTTTCTGGGAACTCTTTCCCACCCAAAAGACGACAGGAGTCGGTTTGGATCTCTGTAAGTAGCTACGACTCCAAAGATAGATTTAGAGATTCCTGATCCATGTGAGGTCTTAGTCTCAGGGCTCTTGGCCGCCTTCTCAGCGCTCGCGCCGGATCACGGACTGCCCCTCTTCATCACCAGTATCCTCTCCTTCACGCTGGCCATCAACATGGCACAGGTCCTCATGCTGGAATACTTGTCCGGCGTACTGGACACCAAAGGCTGGAGAGCCGAGTGTCTTCCCGAGACCCGTCGTGCCCAAAATTGACCTCTCAAAAGAAAGACACTGCGCACGAGTTCTTCACAGTCTTCACTCCACAAAATGATTTGGACACCACACCCAGGAGTCACAAAGGGGTGGTGTTTGGTCCCCAAGTGAGTGGATGTTCTGGGCGCCCCGACTTCCTCCATGGATCGCACCCCGTCTTGTGACGGCTGGACCCCAGATCTCTTTGCAGGGTTTGGTTGACTCCACAGCCTCTGACCTTCGGTTTTTTCAGGAGTGGAGAAGCTCATGGGCGTTTCCGAGACTTTTGGTTGCGGCTTCGCGATGCTGGGTGGCTACGTGGGTGAAGAACTGAAGGCCCGGGGGGGTTCGTGTTTCGACCTCGGCGAGCGGCAAGCTGCGCGCGCGGCACGCGGGAGAGTGGGGAGAGTGTCGCAAGTTCTGGAAGTAGAGAGCGATTGATGTCGACATCTGACAGAAACAAGATCACTCAGGAGGACAAATTTCCATCATTCTTTCTGCCATCTGATCAGGAAAATCCGTCCAGGTTTCTTGATGTTTCTTGACCGTTTGGTCCGGTCCAGCTCCATCATCTGAATCTGGATGGGACGTGGCAGGTTTTTGGATCCTCAGCTCCCTTTCTGATGCAATGCTTCGTGGCCCTGGTGACCGTCACCACCCTGGGCGCCTCTTTCGCCCACCGCCACGTCACCAGAGACTTGGACGTGGGTTGCAGAGCGGTTGGCAGAGAGGGTGCTGCTGGTATACCACCATCCAAGGCTCTCATGGGGGTGTTCAATGGAGATCTAGAAGTAGGCGTGTGGTATGCAAAAAAAGGAGACCCTTGAACGAAAGGTGCTGGTATGTCGCCTTTCTTTTTCGAGCGACCAGCTGCTACGCCCCGTCGCAGCTGCGAGAAGTATCTTACCTCGTTGCAGCGGCCGCGCTTGCGCGCGGCGACCAGGTCGCTGAACTCACCCCGTTCCGCCCCGTTCCGCGCAAGCGCCGGCCGTTGGCGGGCGAACTTCGCCTCGCAAGAAACACCTGAATGGGGCCATTCGACCCTCCAGAAGTATTTCCAAGCCTCCCAAATTGGCCCCAAAAGCTGTGGACATCTGCACATAAGGAGAGGACTTGGATGCAGAGGCGGGTGCGGCGGGCGCAGTGCGGCCGGGTTTTGCCCAGCTGATGGAGGGCATCCAGCGCCTGTGCACGTCCGACGAGAAAGAGAGCCTGGCACTGCTGGAACGAAGATACCGACAGCGACGGGCGATACGCGGCGGTCCGGTCGGATGTGGAGACACCGATGGTCGGCGACGAAGCTGGAGTTAGTAAAGGTATCTCTTTAAACATCTTTTCTTTTTGGGGTGATGACAAAACCCCAGAGTCCCAGAGTGATTTTTTTGTATCCAACATTTAAAGCGTCGTACACAAGCTCTAGAAATGGCTGGAATCAAGGGGGATTCAGGACCTGGACGGAATTGTTTTGGAATTCCAGCTCGCAGGTGAGGAGCTGGTGTTAGTGGAGGGAGGAAAGGAGTTGAACGGTGAGATGAGCTCCAGCAGAGATGGCCATGAGAGGAACTTGTGGCCAAATCAGTCCAATGTGTCACTCTTAGCCGAGTGCTAAGATATGCTAAGATGCGTCTCGGCTTCACCCCCCAAGAGGGTGAGCGAGTTTGGGACCCTGAAAATCAGGGTGGTCAGGATGGTACCAATGTAGGCAGGAACGAGGGTGCCTTTTGATGTTGCCTCTTCAGGCCTTGCGGAAGAAACTCCACACACAACACATGTGTAAGCCTTCAAAATGGCGAGGCCTGTAGGAAGGGTCGGTCAATGATCAGACCAGTTCAGCTCAAAGAATAGAATCACGGAGGACCAGTCCAGGTGTTGTCTTAGGGAGTGTGAATCAGAGGACCAGTTCAGTCCGATGAAGCATACATGAGCATCTTGTGAATTCCAAGATGCTCATCACTCATCACCTTCCAAGAGAGCTTGAGAGATCTGAAGACCCTGAAGAAGCGTCGTTCAGGTGGTACATCTGGGGGCTGTTATCGCCCAGACTGTGAGTTCAAGCTCTGTTAGCTCACAGCTTGCACCCGAGCTGTGACCCTCACAACGAGGGCTGTGTCAATGAATACCACAGATCTGATCCTGGACGAAAGTGTCGAAAGGAGCCCCGACAAAGCGAAGACCCAGGTGACCCAGGTGACCCAAGACACACGCAGGAGGACAGCTGATGGGATGGGTCATGGGTGCCATGACACAATGCTATCATGTTTTGCTCTCAGATTTTCAGACGTTTGCAGAAAGAAAGCACCGAAAAAAAGAATCCACCGCCGACATCGCGGCCCCCCAAAAGCACCAGTGATGCTGGGATCAGCTGGCAGCGTGGACCAGCGGCGCTGCCAGAATCCGCCGCTGCAGCGCGCAGCACGGGGAAGACCAGCCGATCCAGAAAGGTGCCAAAGGCACCGGATCCGGAATGAATGGAAGGCCGAACGGAAGGCCGGCGTGGCCAAAAGGAAGCTGAGACTTCGGTTCGTTGGTTTTTCCTGATTTCTGGGGAGGTCAACTGGGGTGTTTCCCAAGTTTGGTGGACATGTGATGGGAGGTGTTTGATTCTGATTTGCACTTGGTCTGGTCCGTATTTGCTTGAAGTCAGATGAGAAAAGATCAACAGATATTGCTCAAGTGTGGGACACTATGGATCCAGGTCCAAGCTGTTCCAGAGGTTTTTGGTGCTCTAAAACGCCAACCCACCCGCTTTTCCCAGGTCTCATGACGTCCGTGGTGCCCCAAAAAGCGCGCCCCAAAGCCCATCCTCCTCCTCCCCCGCGTGTTCTTCAAGCCACCGCCGCGCTCGCGTTCCGGCATCGTCATGCGTCTTGCGGATCCGCGCGGCTGAGGAGGACTGCGAAGTGGAGGCGCTGGACCTGAGACTCTTACAGTGCCCTGGAGTCAGCACTGAAGTCTCCGGATCCGCGTCGGATGGGATCACTTAGGAACTCCAAAAAGGTCACTTTGAAGAAGCTCGTGGAAGCAAGACATGACTGAGTGATGTTAGGATATTTTGGTTGCCCTGCCGTGTGTTTATACCCATGAACTGGTGATGGCGAAGGTCCTCCACATCACCAGGGCTCCTGACTCTTTGACGCTGAGGACTAAAACGCAACTGATACAGCCAGCGCAGCCGGCAGCCGCAGCCCCCGCGGCAGCACCAGCACTGCCGGAGACAACGCAAGCGCCACCTACACAACCGCCAGCTTCCACCACACTAGCACCAGCAGCACCCACACAAGCACCGCCACCGATGTCTACAACACCCGCAACTCCAAAAGCAGAAGCATTACCTGAAACAACACAAGCGCCACCTCCCAATCCTCCCACAACACAGGCACCACGTCAAGTGCCCGGCGCTGAAGCACCAGCTGCATCCACGCCGATGCCGTCAACTTCACAATCCCCTCTGCCTGAAACCACACCAGCGCCACAAGCGCCACCAATCACATCTATGGGACCAGCAGCGACAGGCACAGCCGTTACGCCGCCACCACATGAGGCGCCGCCACCCCCAACGCAAGCACCACCACCAGCTGCAACGGAAGCACCACCACCACCAGCTGC